TAATAAAAATATCGGCTAAAGCTGGTTTTCCACTGGGCGAAATTTGAACGGTATTTGAATATTAAACGGTAATCCCTAGCTATATAGATGTTGTTGGATCGTTTGAGTGCTGTTTAGGCTTTCTTTCGAGTTATCAGCAAATACAGGGACGCTGGAAGGATGAGATGGCATAGGCGACAGATTTCGACAAAGCTATGACACTTTTGCGTAGATACATACTTGTAGAGAAACATCGGCAGTCGAGCTTCGTTTAAGTTCTTCCTTTTTTTTCTACGTCATTTTGCTGTTCCTAAATGTTGCTGTTCTTGAAGCTCGCGTTTGCTGAATTTCCAGCTTTTTATGTAAAGCAAACTTATTAGAAGCAATGAGGCAGCTCCCCCTGCTCACCCTCAGATCCAGATCTTTGTGATTCAACGAGTAGTTTGATTTGTATGCATGTGACCGCGTTTACTAGGGGAGATCTGGGTTCGGCTGAATTTCCAGTGGCTGAGAAATGTAGAAGTGTAGGATAAGTTGTGTCAATTACCCGGCGACATTTTTTCTCTACTTTTCCTGGCTTGAATTTGAAATGTGTATATGATTTCCACTCATTATTAAGAGAAAATTCCATTGGGGTCAACTCAATATTCAGATGACCAAGATACACTCGTCGAAGGGGTTTCATTCTTCACTGTATATGCGCTGCCGTTCTGTGTGCTTTCTGACTTCTGTGCAACGGAAGCATCAAAGTATTTTAGGCTAACTGTCAAATCACTGATTAAATTGCTTAGGCATATTGCTTCTGATTGGCTAGAATTGTGAAACATTATATCGACCAAAATACAGGTCTTTCTGTCTTTTCTTGGATTATCTCCTCGTCCTTAAAATACTTAGTATTGCATGAAACAGAATGTTTGTTCGCCATGTTTTGCTCACGTGTTTGACTGGGTTTGAAACGTTATAACGTTTATTACGTTATCGTTGTTAAATCGTTTTCAACCTTATCCGGATGACCTGTCCCCACACATACATTCGCTACGTCAGCCGGCGTTTTCAAATTTCTTCCTTTCCCTGTAAATGCATGTAAATATTTATTCGTTTTTAATCTTATCCGGAATCGTGTGAACTTTATTTCGTGCATTTATAGCGACGCCTAAGGGCTGCTTTCCAGTTACGCGTTTTTTATACGCATGTACGCGCAGGAAAATTTTAAATGCTTCTAATTTTTTATTATTTAACATCTAGGTCTACAAGTGCATACTAGAACATGCGGAAAACTAAGTTCTTTCGATTTATTCACTTAGTTTTTTCAAAGGTAACATATATAAGGATTTATAGACTTTTACGTGCGTCTACGTGCGTATGAAAAACGCGTAACTGGAAAGCAGCCTTAAAGTTGAACACTGAACGAAAGCTACGTTTGTGGTTAACTTCGTACGTTTTAATTTTGCGTTCTAATCTCTTTACGTGGTGCTTCATATTTGATGAGATTGCAATTGAATTTCTTATCAATACGGGACAGACCTTATCCGCGATGTTCATTCAGTAGCCTGCATTCGTGCATGGTCTAGGTCCTTCGCATATTATAAAAGTTGCTTCACTTTGTGATAATAATTTCTATTATGCTATATAAGAAAAGATGCAATATCGATAAACAATCATTTCATCTTTTGTGACTTGCGAAAAAAAAATTTCCTATAAAAAAATAGAAAACATTTGGGCGAAGAAGAAATATATAATTATTACACGAGACAGATTATTTTTCATGCACGTTATTTCATACTCCCACAAGTGTTTCTATAACTGTATAGAAACACAGAAAAAAATGTTTTCTATTTCTTTTACAAATTATAATATAACTCCAAAAAATATTATGTACAAATAGTATAATTTGAGACCCAATTAGAGATTCCCATTACATTACTTCGCTTGTCAATTTCAGCGGGCTTTATATTAATTATACAACAACTTAGAAGGTTTTAAGCCTTTACACTTATACGCCCTGCTTTTATACGTGAGTGCATGGACGTAGCTACGTGCAAAAAATGCGACCGTGGAATACAGCCCTTAAACTGTAAATCTTATGTAATACCAATGATAGTGCCTTATATAAGAGTAAATCTTATATAATATATATATGCAAATGAATTACCTCAATTTTTTAACCTTTTGAATTTTTGCGGTAAACAGGTAATCTCTTTGTCGGAATTTTTTAGATATTTTAATTCTTAAAGTCAAATGAAAAAGGGTTTTTTACTGTAAAAGGACGGTTCTATTCGATCACTGCACAACTTATCCATGTATAAACCACAGCTATAGCTGCATACATGCGGTCGCGGATACGTATATCTTTCCATCTTAATGTGCAATAACGTTATATATATATATGTAAATCTCTTTGATATAGCAGAAGAAATTATATAACATTGCTATACATACATAATGTTTACACGCATTAGTTTGGGATTTACTGTCTTATACTATATGCCTTATAAGTGTCTTATATTAATGCCTTAAGTAGAACTCTTTGTATAAGGGAGTCTGCATGAGTTAATTATAGGAGACAATATATATGTCGATTCATTAGCTAGTCATATGGTTAGTCAAAATACTTTCCAACATGATGAGTATTTTTAAATATTATGAAAATATATCCTCTTTTCGTGTTTACGTTAGTGAAAACATCTGTCTGTCCATTTAGGCCCTATCTCTCAATCTTTTACTACAAAAACAGTTTTAAAACCCTGGGGACTAAATATAGTCAGTGTTTGAGTATTGAAAAATAGTCTCAAAGTCAGTCAACAAATGTTAAAATTCAAATTGTAAACTGTTTTATAAGTTCCTAAATGGTTTTAAAATTTGTTTGATCGTTTTTCAAAAAGTATCAAGTGATGTATACATGTATATAAACTGTGACTAATAATTAAGTTGCGGAAACTTGATTTAAACAGTTCGCATGGGGTGAACAACAACATTGTTTTCATGAATCAGGATCAACCTGGGCGGTGTATATAATATAGGGATCGTAAGATTCACCAAATCTACGACGCGGACGTGAAGTAATTCTGTGTTATTTCCACAATTTCACAAGAGGAATAAAATTTTAGACTGCTTTTGGTAAACACATTCATAGCCGTGTTGGAAAACGTAAATATAAAAACATATTAAAACTGGGTTTCGAACACTTAGTCTAGTGGCTGTTTCAAGTCACGTCCGCTTCGTAGATTTGGCAGTCAAGCAGTTAAGCTCCCTCTTAATTCATAGTTCACGTAATCACATTTCATTGACTTCATTTAATACCTAATGTGAACATTATTTAAAAGTATTTACCTTGACATTAGTAGAATATCATAATTAATAAAATAAAACGCCAATAAAACTACTATACTACAAAGCTATAAATCTTCCCATGAATCTAACTCCGTCGTAAGACACATCTATATTATAAGAAAACAAGGACAAGGTCAATTACGGTGGAAATGCGTTTTCAATTGCGTAATTTTTTATCTATCTATAAAATCTATATATAGCTAACAGTTTTTCGCTAGAATAAACTAAAAAAACATGCAGTTCAATTTATCCCGCTTATAGAGTTAAGTCAGTAGGATTTCAGTGATACTCACAAATTAATTTTCAAACGTGCGATCGATAACAGACTTTTATGTGTGTTTTTTTCGTTTGTGTTATTCTCGTTGGAAATTTTCCTTGTTAATCTGAATACTTTATAGATGAAATGATTAGTTAGCAATCTAGGTCCATCTGCACGTGGCATCATCTAAACATGCAATATATAAACGCAGGCGTTCGGTCGCTGTCTCAGAATCTTTCACCAAAAAGCGAAGTCTGCATGTAGTAGAAGAAAAAGTTAAAATGCTTTGTTTCGCGAATTACAAACTTCAAATCCAATCCCGAACACACGGATGCAGAGAAGACTACCACAAATCTAAGGAAACGTTTGAATCATTGACAAAGCCTCGTTTTTATAAAAGCAAGGGTAAACGCACCAACGACTACGTTATTGACGGCGACCATCGTGCAATATCTTCTTCTCAATCAGCAGCAAATAGTCCAACCTTTCTTATGAGATCAGGTTTGTCACCGATTCGTGTGTGAATGTGTTTTCTAGTCATGCATGCTAGCATTGGTACTTTCATGGTCTTATTTAGTTCTCTGAAGGGAGATTACATTGAGAGACTAGAATAATGATTTTGACAATCAAAGTTGGTGAATAGTCGTGCAGCGTCCTAAAATCCTTTTACAAAGAGAAAAATGGAAAGAAACCGTACAGCTATATATACTCAGTATATATCACAATCTCTATATATACAACATGACGTTTCCAGTGCAAGGCAATAGCAGTTACATAATACCAGTCCATCTTATCGCGCCTATCGCTTGTTATTCTCTGCCTTTGTGTAGCCGCACTCCACTGCGGTTTGCATTGCAGTTGCTTGTCTTATTTTAATTAAAAGATAAGAAGGAAAGTAGTCATACTAGTCATTCATATTTTATTGCAAGCGATTTTGGCGCTAGTTTGGTGTCACGCCGGAACGAAATGTACAAAGCACTTATGTATCACGACACCAAATGTATGTTACAGTACAGCAGTTTAGTACAGGGGAATGAAATGGTTGTTTCAACGAAAGTGTAACGTGCTTTGCGCGAATGCTTTATATTTTGTCCGTGAAGAAAAATTGGTGCATGAAACCTGAAAGCAAGATACATATTGTTTGTTGCAATATATAAAATTGTTGCTTTTCAGAGTATATCATTTCCTCCTTATAACATTCATGCATGTGTGCTGGTTTTCCGCTGAGAGTTCATCTCTAGATCGGAATTTGAAATTATTGTTTGAAGCATACAGAATATTCAGGGGTCTTGTCTTTGAAAGCTGGTCGAATCTTCAAATTATGTGTACCCATTTTAGCCGTGCCGTACCAGTAATTTGAGTGTAGTGTAAACGGGGCTTTAATCACCAACTTCTGGGCTCTAGAAACTTAACTCTTATCTATTTTTTGCAGCACGTATTGCAAGCAAGTCCAGTAGAGCTGGAAGAAGCCGCAAAGTCAATTCAATCACACAAGAAGATATGTTTGAGTTGATCATAAAATCTCAGGTAAGATTTTCTCCTGCAGATTATTACAGATAAATTATTAGAACGGCGCTGTTATACTATATGCAACAATCGAAATTTTATCATGCAAGTGCCATAGTATACCATATTGGTAATTCGCGCTGTATTAATTACGACTTATTGACTGATCCCGAGGGAAACGAGGAAATTATGTTTTGTGGACCCGAAATCACTAATCATGGTGGTCGAGGGTCCACAAAACATGATTTTCCCGACGAGATCAGTCAATAAATCTTAATTGTACACTCTATACCTTTCACCATTTGGAACTTTTTAACTCTTGACTGAGATCTCAATCGGGATGCAAACTAGCTGAGCTGGCGTGTGTTATAACAACACACTTCAACTGATGGACAAACCTGGCCTTCAAGATAATATACGGTATTTTTTTGTAGGAATCTCGTATCAATGACCAACGCTGTGACCCTGAACTTATACAGCAAGCCCCAACTGTCCCAGACGAGGATTTCTTTGGCCTAATCTTGCGCCTGCAGTCAAACCGTATCGATGAACAGAGGTGTAGTTTACCAGAAAACCGACGAAGCAACGGTAATGGCACGAATCCTAAAGAACCCAAGTCACAGTACAGAAAAGAATCACAGCTTTAAACAAGATGTGGAACTTCTATTTGAGAATTGGGAAGATTAAACAACGTTTAAAGTCGTGTCTGTATGATAAAAGAAGTGAAATATAAGACAAATCGTTTGTAATATAGTATGGAACTATGCTATAATTTTAAACCTTTTAGACACCGTATAACATTAGAACCAAGTTGACGAATGGTTTCCATTTTTTAATTTTTACATCTGAAGATAAAAGATTATAATATAATGCGATGCATGCAGGGATTTAATATGTTAATTTGTAATCACTGTGTTTGTAACAGTTATTTAAAACTTGCTTTATTTGTTTGTTCAGTGTTTTACCCAAAGTAATTACAGTAATAAACTGCTAATCTTTTGCATGTATTGTTCTCACCAATACCCAGGGACCGCAGAAGGTCGTTAAGAGGGAGGACTACTATTCACATAGTCGCGTTCAGCATTATTTTTCTTTTCAAATTAATTGTTTTTGCGGTCTGTTAACCGAATATGAATGAGAATATCTCTCCCCCAGCCACTTAACGATCTTTCGCCTTCTTTTTGAATTTGCTTGTCTTGCAACTTCGCGAGTTTCTTCTACTTTTTACTCCACCAGGGGCCGGTTGTATGAAAGCCGGATAGCGCTATCCACCGGATAGTGTTTTTTTCAATCGCTTCAAAATCACCTGTTATTTGCTACAACTTTGAGTAATCTTAGTATTTCTAAATCGAAGGTCCTTTTAAATTTAATTGTTGCTTCCAAGCTGAAATTTTATAGCTTTTCGAGCATTTTTAGAACGGTTGAAAAAATCGCTATCCGGTGGATAGCGCTATCCGGCTTTGATACAACCGGCCCCAGGACTTTTCTCTTGCATAACTTGCATAACTGTAAGTATAGGAATGTTGCCGCAACACCAATTCCTTAGCTGTCTCGACAATGACATGGTGTTACTGCAGGCTAGGTGTTACTATGCCCAAATTATTTGTTTCCTGTTTTTTTAAACGTACATATATAAATAAACTTGGTTTTACTTCATATAATTCAGTATACATATTTTGATAGTTAGACATTGAGTTACGTATTTCGATCTGTATTTCGACTAAAACTATAAAATGTTCACAAGATATAAAATTACAAAAAAATTTTATACTGTACTGAAATTAATTAACCAATCATAGTCAAGAAACCTTTTCTTCTATATTCAGTGACTTTGAGAAACTAGAACCAACCATATATAACCAACACATCAGTGCATTACCTTATTATATAGCTCAGTGGTAAAATCCAATATGGCCGCAAATATAGAAGTCCAGGATTTAGCCGCCAGTGAACAGTTTTCAGGAGAAAAAGAGAAATATAAATTGGCTTTATCAACAACGAGAGACATAAGGAATCTTGTTGACAGTGCTTTTGAGAATGCCATTAAAGATTTTGCACCAGAAAAGACTAAACTTAAAGAGAATTTGGTAAAATTAGAAAAAAAATTGAGGTACATGATATATGATAATTAAATTGATAACAAATAATAAAAATCAGAACTCGCACGGACAGAGTGCTATTAATGATATCACTGTGCATTACAATTGACTATGCCTCGACTATAACTATTGACTATAACTAGGCCTTATGTAAGGCTTTAGTTCATATGAGATATTGCACAAAAAGGATGTATTGAAACAACATTTTGTTAAATGCAGTGATCTTGAAAAGATTGGCAACTCCTTAACAAAGCTTGATAATCAACACACCTTACTTGGCAAGAGTGGTCTATTATGGTCTGATCCTATTCAGGATAAAACACCACTTTATGATCAACTGATGCAAACTTACTCTTGGACACAAAAAGTATGTACCTCATTTTCGTAAATTACGTAGACAATGTACACCCAATGTTTTCAAAATATTTGTCCATTATCTAACTTTTGTGCTACAAACATTTTTGTGCAGTTAAATTCTCAAGCAAAAATTGCATCAGAATCATTAAAAAGGCACCACATATTGGATGGTGACAGTTTTCAAGCTGGAGCGAAACGTCGGTTGAGGGAAAGCCTATTTGTACCCCAAAGGTATATTATTATATTATTAATTGGAGTTATAAGTATGTTAATTTAGGTCATAAAATGAAATAGTTAATAGTGCAATATTTATAAGTTCACTTAGCAATCCATAAATTAGGAAAGAATATTTTGCAGCACTCTGAAACAGATTGTTGAACAACTAAAGAAGTCCTTTCCTAAGCTTACAATACGCTGGAACAAAATAGCTGGAGTATCATTGCTTGAGGTAATTGAGCATGATTACAAATATTCATATTGCATGTAAGAGGAAAATATTATTTATTAATTGTGAAGCAATTATTACAATATTATTGTTTTCTTAATTATTTAGCTGGTTATAAGTAACATGCCTGTGTGTTCTAATCACACTTTCTATATTTTTGAAGGTCTCTGTCAAGCTGACATTAAATGCTATAATAATTTTAAGAGGATGTACCATTGATAGAGTTATGATCAAAGCCATACATGAGACATCAGAAGATAAGGTATTGTTTTCACCTCTTGTATCAAGTCTTGAACACTTGTCAGGGCCCCAGTTTATCACCAATCAGGATCGCTTAAAATTGAATATGTATTTTGATTGATCAATTCAGCTGTTACTTTTAAGTATTTCTAGAAGTTCTAGAAATAAATAGTCTCCTGTGCTTACCCCTTAGACAATTAAGCAAGTTTTTTTAGACTAGTTTACTGGCAAGTGATAACATTTAACAGTTACCTTCACTAGGTTTATTTTCCACAACATTTTTTTTTTGCTGGTACACATGAGTTTATAAACTTGTATTCGGGTATTTTTAGGACGAATTCATGCAGTGTTCAAAGTACAAGACATTTAACAAGGTACAGACACTCACTGACCCTATTTTCGATTCTTGATTATGCTGTGTAACATGTTGAAAAATATTTAGCTCTATGAGACTATGACAAGATAAACATTGAATGAGATGGTTTCAGATGTAAAATTGACCATCAAACATTAACCTTATTGAGGTTTTAGATTTTTATATGATATTCCTTCAATTAGATGAGAGATAAGTAAATAAGCTTCTAGGTACACCACATAAGTATTTAATACTGGAAAGCTTTCAGTTCGTTAACCCCGGCCTTCATGAGTGCTATATTAATAATTCAATATTATTCAAAATTATTCAAAATTATTCATCAATTGCACTGATGAAAGCCGAGGTTAACAGACCAAAAGCTTTGCAGTATTACTGAAATACTTACCTGGTGTACCTACAAGCTAATTTACATATTTGATGTCACCATGCAACTTACAATTTTGAGTTAATTATAGATGACAGATGTTGCAAATGCTGCTGCATTTCACTACAGTCAATGTGGAGACCCAAAGAAATCACTGAATAGTTTACTGGTGAGAGATACCTTACTAAACATTTCCCTGGGTTGCAGTGTGAACCATACATTTAATTTAAACGCTAATAGCGTAGACAACTGGACTCTTTTCTACGCTAAATATCTAGATCTCGTCCGTTGCGCACGCGCCTTTTACAAAGCCCAAGCAACTAAACGCTTGAGACAGCGTCTTGTTTAATATGATGCGTTCTAATATAACCAGGTGGCAGCGTCTTCAAACGACTTTGCTTCAAATGTGGTATAACAACTGCCTAAAATAGACAAAAACACTTCTCGACGTTTCGACCTATGTAATAAGAGGCCTTCGTCAGGACGACTAACTCTACTAACTCTCCTGACAAATGCCCCTTGCCCCTTGGTCGAAACTTTGAGAAGGGTTTTTGTGTATTTCTACTATTTTAGGCTCTTGTTATAATAGTATTATAGTAATACAATGAACTTTCTTTACCTTGGCTTAGAACTCTTTAAATACCAAATCGGGCAAACTATCGCAAATAGCATATTTATTTCCTGCATCATTAACTGTGTTGTTTTTAATTGGTTATTTCAAATTTCTAGAATTGGTTAACATATTACGAGAAGTTATTCTCGGAAAAATGCACAAAGTGCAAGAAACATTTACAAAATGACATAGACAGAAATGTGTTGCCGCCGTGTTGGATTGACTTTGAAACACTGAAACTCTATCATCTGCAGTGCAAACCGTAATTTAGAATATATTTGGACCAATTTATGTTGTGCATACATATAAATTATTATTTTTGTGGCAACTTTGTATATTTGTGAAAATAAATCTTCCACCATATAATATTGAACATAGAATTCATCACTGTCTGTGTGTCTTGCTATGACAACAAGACGAGATTTGAAAAATTTTAAAAATATACCCAGTATTTTTAAAGTTTTAAAAACTAGGATATGATATATGTGAAAAATTTGAAATACTTGGGTAAAAATGTTTAAAAATACTGCGTATTTGCAAAATTGAAAAAATCGTTCGCATTTTGAAAAATTTCCAAAAATGTGTTAACGTTGTGAAAATGAGTTCAAATATTCACTAAGACTAATCTCTTTGGTTTTTGAGAATATTTTATTTGTTTTTGGAACTTTCACAAAATCATCATTTTCGGCATGGTAAGGCTACCCTTACCCGTCTTAGCCAAAATTGTCGAATTTTAAAATTTTCCAAAAATGTGTTAATATGCTGAAAACGGCTTCAGATATTCACTACGACTAATCTGTTTGGCTTTTTGGTAAGTTTGATTTGTTTTTTTTTTGAATTTTTAAAAATACTCATTTTTGGCATGATAAGGGGAGAGTCGTTATTAAAATAGCCAAAACTGACGAATTTTCGAATTTTTCCAAAAATGTGTTAATATACTGAAAATGGCTTCAAATATTCACTAAGACTACCTTATTTGGTTTTTGAGCTATTTGGTTCGTTTTTGGAATATTGAAAAAATCATCATTTTTGGCATGGTAAGGGATGCCGTTATAAATATAGCAAAATTGACGAATTTTAAAAATTCCCAAAAATGTGTTAATATGCTTAAAATAGCTTCAAATATTTACTGAAAAAAAAATTTCTTTGGTTTTTGAGCATATTTGGTTTGTTTTTGGAACATTGAAAAAATCATCCTTTTTCGCATGGTAAAGGGTGCCGTTACCAATTTAGCTAAACTTGATGAATTTTAAAAATTTTTAAAAATGTGTTAATATGCTGAAAATGGCTTCAAATATTTACTAAAACAAGTTTCTTTGGTTTTTTGAGCATATTTGGTTTGTTTTTTGGAACATTGTAAAAATCATTATTTTTCGCATGGGAAAGGGTGCCCTTACCATTTTAGCCAAAATTAACGAATTTTAAGAATTCTCCAAAAATGTGTTAATTTTTCAATACTTCAAAAAGAAACTAATTATGCTCAAACACTTAATATCGTAGGCTTAGTGAATATTTGAAGCCATTTTCAGTATATCAACACATTTTTGGAAAATTTTAAAAATTCGTCAATTATCGCTAAAATGGTAAAGGCATCCATTAGCATGCCAAAAATGAAGATTTTTTCATTCTTTCAAAAACCAACTAAATATGCTCAAAAACTAAATATCGTAGGCTGAGTGAATATTTGAAGCCATTTTCAGTATATCAACACATTTTTGGAACATTATCAAAATTCGTCAATTATCGCTAAAATGGTAAAGACATCCATTACCATGCCAAAAATGATGATTTTTTCAATATTTCAAAAACCAACTAAATATGCTCAAAAACTAAATATCGTAGGCTTAGTGAATATTTGAAACCATTTTCAGTATATTAACACATTTTTGGAAAATTTTCAAAATTCGTCAATTATCGCTAAAATGGTAAGGCATCCTTACCATGCCAAAAATGATGATTTTTTCAATATTCCAAAAACCAACCAAATAGCTCAAAAACCAAATAAGGTAGTCTTAGTGAATATCTGAAGCCCTTCTCACAACGTTAACACATTATCGGAAAATTTTCAAAATTCGTCAATTATCGCTAAAATGGTAAAAGTATCCATTACCATGCCAAAAGTGATGATTTTTTCAATATTCCAAAAACCAACCAAATAGCTCAAAAACCAAATAAGTTAGTCTTAGTGAATATTTGAAGCCATTTTCACAACGTTAACACATTTTTGGAAAATTATCAAAATTCGTCAATTATCGCTAAAATGGTAAAAGTATCCATTACCATGCCAAAAATGATGATTTTTTCAATATTCCAAAAACCAACCAAATAGCTCAAAAACCAAATAAGGTAGTCTTAGTGAATATTTGAAGCCATTTTCATAACGTTAACACATTTTTGGAAAATTTTCATAATTCGTCAATTATCGCTAAAATGGTAAAGGTATCCATTACCATGCCAAAAGTGATGATTTTTTCAATATTTCAAAAACCAACTAAATATGCTCAAAAACTAAATATCGTTGTCTTAGTGAATATTTGAAGCCATTTTCAGTATATCAACACATTTTTGGAAAATTTTCAAAATTCGTCAATTATCACTAAAATGGTAAGGCGTCCCTTACCAGGCCAAAAATGATGATTTTTTCAATATTCCAAAAACCAACCAAATAGCTCAAAAACCAAATAAGGTAGTCTTAAGCAGTGTTTACACTAGAGACCTATACCTGACCTAAGACCTAACTTAAGCAGTTAGTCCTGCAGTGTAAACGCACTAGGACTGACCTAAGACCGACCTAGGACCGACCTAAGACCATGATTTCAGGCCAAGCATTAGAGGTGGCCTGAAAACATGGTTTAGGTAAGTCCTAGGTAAGTGTCAGGTCAGTCTGGCGGTGCAAACACATTTTCATTGACCCAAGTGTGATCGAAGCTAATTTCCATGACAACAAACGTAAATTCGAGTCTTTGATGTCAGCATTTAGCCGTCTTGGAATTTTCGCGCGATTTTGCAAAAATTAGGGGGAAATTCAGAGTTGATAATTAGGTACATGGCGAATTTCGGAACTTGCCGATAAGTTATATTATATATTTTTTAATTTTGCATGAAATCGTTGTTTGCCAGTAATCCCAGTAATCACTACATCGTATTCTTTTACGAGGCTTTGTAGTTTGTACGAAATAAACAAACAAAGAACTGCAAGCTTATTTTAATACTCTTCTCAAAGTATTTTATGTTGCGTGTATGTATATAAGTCCCGTTATAGGTAACTGGTGTAAACACACCCTGTAAAACCTGGTTAGGTACTTCTCAGGTACGGGTAAATGTCAGCCCCTTCGTGTAAACACGGCTTTAGTGAATATTTGAAGCCATTTTCACAACGTTAACACCTTCTTAAAAATCTTTCAAATTCGTCAATTATCGCTAAAATGGTAAAGGCATAGCTTACCATGCCAAAAATGATGATTTTTTTGATATTTCAAAAACCAACGAAATATGCTCAAAAACTAAATATCGTAGGCTTAGTGAATATTTGAAGCCATTTTCAGTATATCAACACATTTTTGGAAAATTTTAAAAATTCGTCAATTATCGCTAAAATGGTAAAGGCATCCTTACCATGCCAAAAATGATGATTTTTTCAATATTCCAAAAACCAACCAAATAGCTCAAAAACCAAATAAGGTAGTCTTAGTGAATATCTGAAGCCCTTTTCACAACGTTAACACATTATCGGAAAATTTTCAAAATTCGTCAATTATCGCTAAAATGGTAAAAGTATCCATTACCATGCCAAAAATGATGATTTTTTCAATATTTCAAAAACCAACTAAATATGCTCAAAAACTAAATATCGTAGGCTTAGTGAATATTTGAAGTTATTTTCAGTATATCAACACATTTTTGGAAAATTTTCAAAATTCGTCAATTATCGCTAAAATGGTAAAAGTATCCATTACCATGCCAAAAGTGATGATTTTTTCAATATTCCAAAACCAACGAAATAGCTCAAAACCCAAATAGGGTGGTCTTAGTGAACATTTGAAGTCTTTTTCACAACGTTAACACATTTTTGGAATATTATCAAAATTCGTCAATTATCGCTAAAATAGTAAAGGCATCCCTTACCATGCCAAAAATGATGATTTTTTCAATATTCAAAAAAGCTATCAAATATTCTCAAAAACCAAATAGGGTAACCTTAGTGAATATTTGAAGCCATTTTCACAATGTTAACACATTTTTGGAAAATTTTCAAGTGTTAACCATGCCAAAAATGATGATTTTTTCAATGTTCCAAAAACAAAATAAATACGATCAGTTTGGTTTTCAAAGAGATTAAATGTCTTAATGAATATTTGAAGCCATTTTCTTAACGTTAACACATTTTTGGAAAATTTTCAAAATTCGTCAATTTGGCTAAAATGGTAAGTGTGCCCTTACCATGCCAAAAATGATGACTTTTTCAATATTCGAAAAAGCAACCAAATATGCTCAAAAACGAAAGAACTTTACTTACCTTAATTTTTTTTCACGAAAATATGACAGGGTGATTTTCTCGAGATTGAAAAATTCACCTTTTTTCACTTTTTTGAAATTCTCCGAGATTTTTTTTTGACCCGGAAGTATTTTGTCTTGGCCCACCTGTGTAGCTTGCCACAGGTAGCCCAAGACAGACGCAGTAGCCCAAGACAAAATACTTCTTCCTTAAGAAATTAAGAAAGTCAGAACAAAAATTCAAAAGTTTCCCGCTGTTAAGAACTCATGTTTACTTAATTTTTTTTCACGAAAATTTGACAGGGTATTTTCTCGAGACTGAAAATTTTTACTTTTTTTTCACTTTTTTGAAATTTTCCGAGAATTTTTTTGACGACGAAGTATTTGTCTTGGGCTACTGTGTCTACCTTGCAACAGATAGCCCAAGACAAAATACTTCATCGTCAAAAAAATCTCGGAGAATTTCAAAAAATTAAATTTTTTCAGTTTTCGCATGCAGGATTCGAACCTACGCTTACAACATGATAGGCCGTAGCCTTGACCACTAGGCCACCGCATCTTATGCCGTTACCAATCTTGCAATATTTATATTACTCCGATTACCTTTTGAAAATTTTCAAAAAATATGTAAACATTGCGAAAATGAATTCAAATATTCACTAAGACAATTTTATTTGGTGTTTGAGCATATTTAGTTGTTTTTCGAATATTGAAAAAAATTATCATTTTTTGAATGGTAACGGCAAGGGTTAGGCTACCCTTACGATTTTAGCCAAAATTGAGGGATTTTAAAAATTTTCCAAAAATGTGTTAATATGCAGAAAATGGCTTCAAATATTCACTATGATTACCCTATTTGG